CTCAAGAATAATTTAAAAGAATAAATACTAAATCATTACCTTAAAAAGATTATTGCAATTATAAATTACACATAGAGAAAAATTAGCAAAGCCATTCAATTATTTAGACTTAAAAACATGCTTTGAAAATCTTTGAAGCTGTTGAGGTATTCATCATTTTCCTTTTGCAAAAAAATATGCCCATGTACTTTAGTTAGTTACTAACAATACATATCAAATATATTTCTTCAAATATGATACCTAAGTGAAAGATTATCTTTCAAAGCATTTTCTAAAAGTATTTAGAGTTATGAAGACATACTTCCATAGGTTAATTCCATTAATGATGAGAGTTTTTAAGTTGCTTGGGAATGATAGAAACATCTCTGTCCTGTTCACTTGAAATTTACGCACAGACATAGGTATGTATTATATCACAAAAATCAAATGTGGTATATTGAACTGTAACACAGAACAATACTGGTTTGTGAAAGTGAATTTAAATAGGATGGGAATTATGTACAGTTTAAAATTTTACTGAAGTTATTAACTTTTTCTTGAAAAAATTAATGTATACAGTATTTCAATACAATAGCAGCACACAAGAAAACACCCATAGATACATATTATAAATGTAACACATATATCACATATATAATATATGTACAGACATATATCATATATAGTATATATAGTATATACATACATACATATCACACATACATTATATGTGTAATATATATCTCTATATGTCACACACATGTACTTATATAGTATATACAGCTATACATATATATAAAACACGTAAAAACACAAGTATATATCACATAGTGATTATACATGATACATATACGTGAATATATGTGATATATACTTGATAAATGTATATATGTGACATATACATGTATTTTTATATATTTGTATAAAATACTTGTATTTATATATTTGTATATTTTATAAATGTTAATGTATTTTATATATTTTAATATTGTATATGTTATACATGTATAATATATATATATCTCACATACATATATATATATCCCATGAAGGTGAAGTTAAAGATATAAAGTAGGGCAATAGGAGAGGAAGAGTTAGAGTCATTGGGAATCAATCTTGTAGGTTCAACTAATGTAAGAGTTTCTGACAGGCAGAACACAGAAGACATTATTTGAATAAATTGTTAAGGGGATAATACAATAAAATTTCCCAGAACTGAAGAACAGGAATCTCCACATTTAAAAGGCGAAGTGAACACTGCACAATTAATGGAAAAAAGTGACTTGCAACAAGGAATACCATTGTGAAATTTTAGAATACCATTGGTACAGAAAAGCTCCTAAAAGAACCCAGAATAAAATGGGCAAAGGAAAAGAGAAAGAAAATAAGGAGAAAAAAAGAGAGAAAGAAAGGGGGGGCGGTAAAGACACAGAGATAGAAATAGCGACAGAAAGAAGGGAAGGGGAAGGAAGGGGAAGGAAGGAAAAGAGGGTGATGGGGAGGGGAGGAGAGAGAAAAGAAAATAAAATACAGATCCATAGCAGTTTTCACAGTAGAGTGTTCAGTGTTCAGATATGATTTATCAAATTTGAAGTAAGACTTCCAAGTAGCTGTAAGCCAAATATATTACCACGAATAGGATAGATCCTAAAAATAGTCATCCCAGACCAAACGATATGGGAAGTACGTTTGTTCCATAATGATCAGTTTCACATGCTCAGATGAAAAACAATCCATCAAAAATAATCACATACAAAAGTACTCTGCATGGGCAATCTGATGTTGTATGTATAGTTTAAACTGATGTTGAACTGTTAGGACATTGTTGAAATAAGCAATTATTCGTTTCATGAAACAGATATTATAGCCAAAATAATCTTGGGTTGTGGGTTAATAGAACTTTTGTATTTTAGTAGCCGTTATTATAATAGCTTCATCATTTGGTTAGGTAAATGTCCAGATGTGAATTTATCTGGAAGAAATTTTGGAGGATTTGTGATATCTCTAGCTGAATTTCTTTAGTAACTTGGATTATAATTAGAGGTAAAACAAATAATTCTGATTTCTAATAATCTATTTGTGTATAAGTTTTCATTTTGTTGTGAATAAACCTACAAATAAAAACACTTTGATAAGTACTCCCATGAGACTAACATAACCAACACTTACAGTTTAATTATGATGACTGGGTAAAGAAAATATGGCGTGTATGTACATATACACACATATTATATACATATCTTGTATATATACACACATAATTTTCTATCTTTTATATATACACATGGTGTGTGTATGTATATATGGTATATATGTGTGTGTATATGTGGTATATGTGTGTGTATATATACATATATACACACATATATATGGTATACATATATACCTATATACACACACACGGTATACATATATACATATATACACACACATATATGGTATACATATACACATATATACACACATATATATGGTATACATATATACATACATACACACATTTGGTATACATATATACATATATACACACATATATATGGTATACATGGTATACATATATACATATATACACACACACATATGGTATACATATATACATACACACATATATATGGTATACATATATACATATATACACACAAATATATGGTATACATATATACATATATATACACACAAACACACACACACTATGGAATACTACTCAGCCATAAAAAGGAATGAAATCATGTCTTTTGCAGCAACATGGATGTAACTGTAGACCATTATCTTAAGTGAAATAATTTAGAAACAGTAAGTCAAATACTGCATGTTCTTACTTATAAGTGGGAGCTAAATAATGTGTACATATGGAAATACAGAGTGAAATAGGGGATGTCAGAAACTCCAAAGGATGGAAGGCAGGAGAGGGGTGAGGAATGAAAAATTACCTATTGGGTACAATGTGTTACTATTCAGTAATACACTAAACACCCAGACTTCAAGGTTTATTTTATAATCACCAGTAGGCATTAGAGAATTATTTATATTAAAAATTAACCATACATTTAATTTCAGTTATATTCTTTGCATTCTACTCTCCCTCGCTCCCCCATCCTCCCCTTCCTTCCTCCCTTTTCTTTATCTCTTTCTTACTTGCTTGCTTTTTTTTTTTTCTTTCTCTTTTTCTTTCTGAAAAGTCCTATATTTCCATTATATTATAAGTTAGTAATGGGACCTACTTCATAAATAAAGGAATAAAATGATTTGGTTTTGGATGTGAATGAATATTTCTTTAGAGAGCTGTAAGAAAAATTTAAGTAGTATAATGTGGCTATTAGAATGTTAATATTTAGCACTCATCATCTGAAGCAAAAAAAAAAAATGGCACTTCTGGTTCTTAAGAAAATATGTACATGCTTTTATTCTTTCAGTTCAGGTTTATAACTTCACTCTATTTCAGTGCCAGGCTGCTTTCTTGTTAGAACCTCTTTTGGAATCCAAGTGTAAGTAGGGAGGAAGAGGACATGAGAAAAGAATGCCTGTACACTGATAACAAGAAGTTATATGTTGTTTTCAATATCCTCTACGTTATATGAGGTTAAATCTTGCCTTCCTAAGAGTCAAGGAACTCAACCTCTAAAAATATCAGAAGTTTCTTAAGACGACAAAAATAGCATTTCTCCAAATAGAGAAAAAAACATCTAATTCCATGGTATAATATGTCGGCTGGCAAATTTCCTTTTAAAAAAGTCATTCTTGTTACTATTTATATAGTTGCAGATATTAAAGAGATCATATTTATTTCCTTAAAATTTGTAATAAAGAAAAAATGCAATTTGGTTGAGCAGTTACCTTGCTGATCCCACAAATTGTCATACTCTCTTGTCCCCTTTCCTTCATGGAGTCTTTATTCTTTTGGAGTAGACACATTTCTTTAATCACTAATCACTTTTCTCCCTCTCTCTATGGTTCCTGCTTATGTTTAAAGATTTACTTACTTTTTGAAGACCTTTATATCCACATGTTCTGCTTTCCCTGGTCCTAATTTAGCAACAACCCAGTTTACTTTAATTTTAATTGTTTCCATTTTCTATTAGTAGAGTGTAGACTCTATCAAGGCAGGAAAATCATGATTTAACAATAGTGGGTCCTTAAACCTAACAGAGCTTTAAAATATATTTGCAAGTAGAAAATTTTTGTTAAATAAATGCATTTTTGAAAAAGCAAATTATTATTCCTGTGACTAACAGTCTAGAAATGAAACTTTTTCCTTGGGCCTCAAAATTTAGTACACACATGTAGGCTTATTGTATTTGTTGTAGAATTTTTACATATCTAAATTGGGAGATAAAAGAGGAAGAAAGTAATGGGGTAGTAGGGAAATCTGACAAAAAGAAATAGGAAAAACTCATCATTTTGCAAATTAAATTTACCTCTATTATAAAGCAGGAATGAATCATGCCAGAGTACCCCTTCCAAATTTTCTTTCCTTTGTCGCTTCTCTTTTCTAATTTCAATGTACTACAGAAGGAAATGTGACAGGTTTATATTTATTTATTTTCTAACAAATGACATTGCTTTATTTTTCTCCAGAAATATTGCTGTTGTCTATTGACAAAACATTTTTTAAAGCAGAAATTACTTATTAAATAAGACATTGGATAAGTTAAAACTCTGTAGTGCCCAGTTTTGCTTCTTGAGAATCTCGTATGATTCACAAACATGGTCTAGATATGTATTTTTATTGGAATCAAACCTAAACTTCTAAATCCTAGATAGTTGTGCTGTTTTTATGATTGAATGAACAGATTTCCCTTTTTCTTTCACAGAAGAAACCCTAGCAGATATAGGCTCAGATACTAATAAAACAAACCAATACAATCAAAGTAAATTCACAAGAGATGTTTACCCATCCTCTATACTTTTCTTTTTTTTTTTTTAGGTCCTAGGAGAAGGTAGATTCCAGGTACACAAAAATAGAGAATTGTAAGCTAAGGTTCTGTTATAAATATATACATATTTTCTTTATAACCCTTTAGGTCTAAAGAGTAACTCTAGTTTTTTAAAAATATGTTATACGAAAACTGAGTTGAAAACTACTCTAGGAAAACATTTTTAAAGTTATTGTTGGCTGGTGGGAATATGGGGTGGAGTTGTTCTTAGAGAAATGAGAGCAGCAATAAAAAGGAAGTTTAAAAAAAAGCTTGTCACAGGGCAGCATAGTTCCAGAAGACAGTACTGACCAAGGAGCAGAAAAGCAAGATGAATGATGTGAAACTTGCTGTCTTGGGTGGTGAAGGAACGGGCAAATCTGGTGAGTGGTGATGTCTTCTATGTTATAATAGAGTATAGAAAGAGCGAGAAACTGACATGTTAACCATTAACCATGTATTTTATATATATTTCATATATATGAAAATACATCTATAATAACATCTCACTGGGATGATAGGCACATTGTTTTTCATTAGGAGTTTCCATTTTTATGGGCAAGTAACTATGTTTATAGAATATATAGGCAGGTATAGCAAGATAAATACCTGAAATTTTACTTTGTATATTATTCTACTGATGTTTACAATTCATAGGAATAACAGGAAATTTCTACATCACTATCCCACCTACTTCTCCCTTCAACACACCTGCCCTCATACCCACTAGTTGCCAAACAATGGCCTTGATAGAACTCATCTTTTCTGAAACTAGGGTAGGGAGATGTTTGGAGATTTGTGGATTATATTTTAAATATAGCATTACTGAGATGAAAGGACTTTGCGGGGCATGGCTTGGTGGATGTCCTGGAACTGAGAAATAATGTGCCCTAACTTTGGAAGTCATGCTTTTGTTTTGTTGTATTTTACTTTGGTCTTGGTCACATTATAATAGTAGGATGCTACCAATAGGGCCACTTGAGCCTAAAGAATCATGACATCTTAACTGGCCAGACCCAGGAGCTGTGACATGGTGAACGGATACCAGAGGTTCTTTTTCTATTTCCTGGATTTGTAGGTCCCTACATCCTTAAATAACTGCAAATACTTGGTAGTGTCCTTGTGACTATTACATCTAGTACTTTGAAGCCAGACTGAATTTGATAGAGAAAATAAACAGATGTCAAACTTCTTGCATCTTAAATATGAGAAATCTGTTTCTGTTACAAAAGGTAAGTGGCCTTATGTTTTTGCGGTAATGAATTAACTGCATAGTGATTTAGATGTGCAGCGCTTTAAGATCACTTCCTTTCCAGCTTTCTAATCATTTGTTTGTACCATGGAAATATTGTGAACTACTATTTAGAACAGAATTTGGTAAAACTTTAAAGTCTTTATTAATTCTTGAATATTTTTTATTTAAGAACTAAAACCTCATGCACATAACCAAATTTTCTGTTTCATAAAATATAACAGCCTTAAATCTAGATTGTTTGCTTTGCAGCTCTTACAGTGAGGTTTCTTACTAAGCGATTCATTGGAGAATATGCTTCTAATTTTGGTAAGTCACTACTCTAGACATTTTTACCTTAAAATTTTTAACATCATAATTAAATCCCACTTAAGTACAGAGATGCGTATTTGATAGACTGTACCATTTTTATGCATATAAAACTGTTTGTTTATTCACATATTCTGATTAGAAATGCCAAAATAGGAACTTGAATTAAATGTTCTTTTATGGTAAAATTCACCCAATTTGATGTTAAGACTGGTTTCAAAGTCTGGAACTGGAAAAACATTAAAACTAAGATCCTCTCTTCAAACTATTGTAGAACATGCAACTGAATATTTCTTGTGAGGTATAAAACAACTTTGAAATTAAATCAACATTCTTTAAAAAATAAGAAAATTAATACTGAAACCACAACAAAGGAATAAAGTTTATTTTTATTATAAAACCATAAGAAAATAGGAAAATTATGCCTTGATTAAACATCATATTATCTAAGTCATTTATATAAATGTAGAAACATTTAAAACACATAACAGGGCATTTTGATATAATTTTAAGATTATTTCATGAACTCTTCTGTAAATTTGTTTGACTAGAATTAGCATAATATATGGGAAACAGTACAACATAAAAAGTGAGAAATCTTGCCATAATTTTGAGCATGTTTTTGGCTCACCAATTAAATATGATGGTGCTAATATCTTACCTCATTGAAGAAATGAGTTGAGGAGATTTTTTTTTTTTAAATGAGGATGGCAGATTACAGAAAATATAAAAATTGGGAGAAAGGAGAATGTTTTTGTTGATTATTACTTAGACTAAGGGAATTTATGATTGCAAGTGTGTTTTTCCATGAGAAACAAACAAAAATCTTTAGCATTCAATCATGAAGTAGCATAATCGGAGTATCTCAGAAAATAGCTTTAATATATTACATTGTGTTTTTCCCTACATGAATTCAACGTGGTATTTCAGTCCATATGACATTATGAACATTTTAGGGCAAAAGCCTGAAAACTGATTATAGAAAGTTGAAAACATAAAAAGAAAAATTCCTGTTGTTTCATTTTTGAGGGCAATGACATCAGTCAAAAACGTCAACATAACATACAAGTTAGGACTCGGGCATGAGAAAATGTCCCAGAACTAAAAAATAAAACAAACACAGAATGATACACCATCCAAATAACAACAAAAACTCTCAACGTAAACTTTGATATAGTATAGTTGTATAAACTAATGAAATGTTTACACATTTCTGGCTGTTACATCTCAATGAAAAATAAGAGACCTAGAGGCATTTTTGAAAAGCCAACCAAATGATCAAAAGCTCATTAACTCAGAGGGCAAACTAGCAAAAATGACTCCACTTTGTATATTAAAACTAGAAGGGGAAATAATACAATTCTAAAAATGTGAGAATTGATGACACTTGCTGGCAGTTTTTGAGATTTGAGAGTGAATAATTTTAATTGACTAGAAGGAAATAATGTGGTTTGGAGTCAAGAATAAACCTATAAAGTTTAGAAGAACCTGGCTGAAAACATAATTTAAGGTTTCATGAAACTGTAACAAATTTCATTAAATATAACCTGGTAGGAGGTAAGAAGTCAACCCTAATCCTCTAAGAGAATTTGATCAGATAATTGATGTGATCTGGCTACAAGGTTCACTTTTACTTCTTTTTTTTTTTTTTTTTTTTTTTTTTGAGACGGAGTCTCGCTCTGTCGCCCAGGCTGGAGTGCAGTGGCGCGATCTCGGCTCACTGCAAGCTCCGCCTCCTGGGTTCACGCCATTCTCCTGCCTCAGCCTCCCGAGTAGCTGGGACTACAGGCGCCCGCCACCTCGCCTGGCTAATTTTTTTGTATTTTTTTTTTTTAGTAGAGACGGGGTTTCACCGTGTTAGCCAGGATGGTCTCGATCTCCTGACCTCGTGATCCACCCGTCTCGGCCTCCCAAAGTGCTGGGATTACAGGCTTGAGCCACCGCGCCCGGCCCACTTGTGTTGAGAATACACTAGAAACAGGAAGGGTGTTAGAGGAAGGATGGAAACAGATGACTTAGGAGGCTTTGTGATAAATTAGGCAATTAATGATGGTGGTCTAGACTATATTGTTAACAATGGAGATGGTGAGATACAGACAAATTCAAAATATATTTTGAACGTAGACTAAAAGAATTTTAGAATAAATTTTAGAATAAATATGTGACGTAAGACAAATAATCAAGGATAATCCTTTTTTTTTTTTTTTTTTTTTTTACCTGAGAAACTGCAGTTATAGATATGCCATTTAACAAAATGGAAAATTGTAGAAGATGCAGCCTTTGCAGGGATATCAGGGGTTCAGCTTGAGGTGTGTTAAGATTGAGATATCATGTAATCCCAGCACTTTGGGAGGCCGAGACGGGCGGATCACGAGGTCAGGAGATCAAGACCATCCTGGCTAACATGGTGAAACCCCGTCTCTACTAAAAAATACCAAAAACTAGCCGGGCGAGGTGACGGGCGTCTGCAGTCCCAGCTACTGGGGAAGCTGAGACAGGAGAATGGCGTGAACCCGGGAGGCGGAGCTTGCAGTGAGCTCAGATCCGGCCACTGCACTCCAGCCTGGGCGACAGAGCGAGACTCCGTCTCAAAAACAAAAAACAAAAAACAAAAACAAACAAACAAACAAAAAAAAGATTGAGATATCTATCAAGTATCTAAATGGAGATGTCCAATAGTAAGTTATTTGTGTCCAGAGTTCAGGGATGAGGTATGGGCTTCAGACATAAGTTGGGTTCATGAGAAATAATTGGCATGTGACAGCTTGGGACTAGAAGAGATCTGAAAAAGAATGTAAGAAGAGAAGAAATCTATGAACTGGATCCATGTTTGAGATGCGAGAAGTCAGTGGGGACAGGGAGAGGTGAACAAAAAAGATTAAGACAGAACAACAAGGAATTAAAAAACAAACAAAAACTGGAGACAGTCTTGCCTTGAAGGTCATGTAAAGGAGATACTTTAAGGAGGCAGGAATGATCAACTGCGTTAATGCTACCAATAAGGCAAATAAAATCAAGATAGAGAATTAACCATTAAGCCATAATACATTTAAGCTAGAAGAAATTTTTCATGTTTGTAAGATGTGGCTAATGATATGGTAAAGAGGAAAAAATTATGATATATAAGAGGGAAGTAGAATTGCTGAAGCCATGTCTCTCAGCGGGTGAGGAGAAATCACTAGCTGAGAGTGAATGGGTTTACTTTAGATAGGAACATAGATGTTCCACGCACAGTTATAGGATGGAATATAAATATATGAGCAAAAAGGTATGTAGGTGAATATAGATAGTGGTGAGATTCATTTGTAAGAAACATATCGGCCAGGCGCAGTGGCTCACGCGTGTAGTCCCAGCACTTTGGGAGGCCGAGGTGGGGGGATCACGATGTCAAGAGATTGAGACCATCCTGGCTAACACGGTGAAACCCCGTCTCTACTAAAAATACAAAAAAAAAAAAAAATTAGTTGGGCGCAGTGCCACACGACTGTGGTCCCACACGACTGTGGTCCCAGCTACTCGGGAGGCTGAGGCAGGAGAGTGGCATGAACCTGGGTGGCAGAGCTTGTAGTGACCCGAGATTGCCCCACTGCACTCCAGCCTGGGTGACAGAGTGAGACTCTGTCTCCAAAAAAACAAAAACAAAAAAACATATCTGAGTAAATACAACAAATACATGCTTTCGGTCACCAGCAATATAAAAAGGGCACAATACGATTCCACTAAAATGTGAGTGGTTGAATTTATCAGACTCTGATTCAGATATGAGTTCACATTCAGAGTATTTTCATACTGACAGTGAATATGCAATATTTTTGCAGAATCTATCTATAACAAGCACTTGTGTTTGGAAAGGAAACAACTAAATCTGGAAATATATGACTCTTGTTCTCAAGTAAGTAAAACAAAACACCTTTTATATTGATTTATTGATTGATTTTTTAACAATCATGATTTTGAAGATTATATGGCGGTAAGTGAAAAAAGTGAAAAGTTGCAGTGTTAAAACCAAAGTTTCTTCTCATTTTAATTATTAAAAATTTAAGAGATTATTTTCTTGTGTTGTCAATTCCATTACCTGTCATCTCTAACTTCATGTCAAAAATTATATCACAAATATCTTTAAAATTGCAACATTAGGCTGTTTCTATATTTCTATCAGGTCACAGTGTCACTGCCAGAAGATAATAGTTAAGTGGCTTATCAATTCACTTTTTATTTTCAACTAAGTTGCACTTATAACTAACCAGTTGTCAATAAAACATAATACATAAAATAGATTTTCAGTACAAACCTCCTTGTCTATTCATATGGGAAAACAGTTAAAATGGGATTATACAAATAAGAGAAAAATGGCCATTTATTCAGGACTTCAAAACAACTATATGAGACAGATCATTTAGGGTAAATAAAAATATACCTTAAATATTTTAGCTAAACCTTTATAATATTTTTGATTTTTATTGATTTAAATCTAGTACCAGAAATCAATAGATATTCCATTCACTAACAGATAAATGATATACATTCACAACAAATATGTGGGTATTAGTTCAAAAGTTGTAGCTCATCAAATTTTCTGAAAAAGTGGAGATGTTTTCTTCTAGAAAAGTTATAAAATTAGATAGATATAACTTTATTATAGTTCTGTTTTACATTTAATCACTTTTAATTAAGGACAATGAGTAATAAAGAACTATATTTTAGAAAATATCAGTATTTACCATACTGATGTATCTTCCAGCTGAAGTGGGTCTCCATTAGTTGACTGTTTAAAGTATAAAAACACAGGTATTAGATCCCAACCACTCTTAATGTACTTGGTTTATTTTCAGACACAGAAAGCAAAATTCTCCCTCACAAGTGAGCTTCACTGGGCAGATGGGTTTGTTATTGTGTATGACATCAGTGATAGGTCTTCATTTGCTTTCGCGAAAGCACTGATCTACAGAATCCGGGACCCACAGACTAGTCATTGTAAAAGGTAAGGAAGGTATTTTTCATTCCTTTCTCCTTTCTTTTTAGTAAATCATCATATAGCCGTAAGCATCATTAGGAAGGGTTTAATACAGCCTTCCAATTACAAAATTTAACAGCCCTGAACAATTCACCTTCCCATTCCACAGGAGTTACACATGTAGTAAAAGGAATAAGATGAGAATGCTTTATATCCTGGCTGCCATAAACAGTTACTCGCCCTGAGTAAATGGCTATTTTACAAGACAGCTTCTATTGTTAACATGACACTCACTTGCAAAATAATGGTCCTTTGTATATAAGATAGTTCTCTTTCCAACCTTTTCTTTCCATTCTCACAAAAATGTTAAGGATACTAAATAAATTCAGATTTATTACGTTTGGCATCCCGTGAAATCCAATTCCTAGTCACTGAGTTGTTCAATCTATCAAAGCAAAATAGACGGAATAATCAAACTGTTTACAAATTCTAAATATGAGAATACATTTTTCTCCATTTTACCTGCTAAAGGGCTGATCAACAATTCCTTATTCTTGTCTTGACACAAGGAACTATGAAAACATGATTGTGCCTTAAGCTATTGTTTCATTAGTAGATAAAAGTTTAAGCATCTGAGTTTCCAATTTAAGTTTTCCCCATTTTTCAGTCATTTTGGCCTTTTCCATTTAAAGTACTTTTGCTCAACGTTCTGATTGTAAAAGAGTCTTCGTGCTTTTAGCCAATTTAGCCCTTAGAATCTAAATAGTATTCTAATCTGGTAAGTAAAAAAAGCACAATACTACTGAGAATTGGTATATGTACTTTTAGTATCTATTTTAAATGTCCACTATAAAGAAATCATGGGATAATAATTGATAAAGTATTTCCCTGGAGTTAGATGATGTACATACATTCTTGCTTTCCTTTGATTCGGCCTAAGTAAGCCACTTTAATCTCTAGAGCTCATTTTTCTAATTATTTAACTGGTGGCAGCAGGATAGGAGAAACAGATGAGATTTTACTAAGGTGCCTCATAGCTCTTATTTCCTATAATATTACTGATATTTTAGAACTCCATTGTTTCAATCATTAAATATCTTATATTTAAGCATCATGATGTAGATAACGGACAGAAATAAAATTCTGACATTTCTTCAAAGTAATCACTCAAGAACACTTAAAAACATACTGAAAGTATAAACATTTGTATTGGACATTTTTCAGGAAATATTTCTAATTTATTGACTAAATAATTCTTTGAATGTTTTCAGTTCTCAATCTGTAAAAAGACTAGGAAAGCAAAATATATCACTATTTCATTAAATTATATCTGATATTTGTGGCCCACCCTTGAAAACCTATGTATATATCCTTCCTCATTTACCCTTTTCAATAATTTTATAAACTAGACTAAAAAAAGACCTTAGTAGCATTTTTAAAAGTTCACCACACATTGTCATTTGAATGACACCAACTTTTAGTGGAATTGGGGCCAGTAAGAGTTGAAGACTGACTGTGTGCACCCATTTTTTTTCCTTATAGTAGATATCTTTGCAGTGTTCTATGCCTTTTAAAGCCTAGTGATTTTAATATATTCTTCAACTCAAACTCTATTTTTGTGTTGTTTCATTATAACCAAGGAGGATATATTGATGTTTACAGATACATTTTATCTTAACAAAGACACATTTCTTAAACAGGAGAATTGGGCAAGTTCATGAGATTATACAGTTTTCTCGGGAGCATGTTATAATGGCTATTAGTGGAGCGAAACAGCAATAAATATTGAATATTTTTGCTTATGAAAATTTTATCTAAATTGACTGTTCAATTATAGTAACTGTATAAGTAAAGAGACATTTGCTAGCTCTTCCCTTGCAATTGATAAGGAACATGAAAAATAACACTTCGTCAGGATCTTTCATTGCCTGGGCCTGTGTTAGGTATTTTTATATACATCATTTAATGTATACAGTCTCCATGAGATTTAATCTCTGAGAATTCTGTGTGAGGATTATTTCACCATTTTTGAAACTTTGAATTTAGGTTCGGGGTAGATGTGCAGGTTTTTTACACAGGTAAACTTGTGTCATGGAGGTTTATTGTACAGATTATTTCATCACCCAGGTATGAAGCCTAGAACCCATTAATTTTTCCTGATCCTCTTCCTCCTCCCACCCTCGACCTTCCAATAGGCACCACTATGTGTTATTCCCCTCTGTGTCTCCATATGTTCTCATCATTTAGGTCTCACTTATGAGTGAGGACATGCAGTATTTGATTTTCTGTTATCGTGTCAGTTTACTAGAAATAAGGGCCTCCAGCTCCATCCATGTCCCTGCAAAGGACATGCTCTTTTTTTTGAGACAAGAGCCTCACTCTGTCACCCAGGCTGGAGAGCAGTGGCATGATCTTGGCTCACTGCAACCTCCGCCTCCCGGGTTCAAGAGATTCTCCTGCCTCAGCCTCCCGAGTAGCTGGGACTACAGGCACCCACCACCATGCCCAGCTAATTTTTTGTATTTTTAGTAGAGGTGGGGTTTCACTGTATTAGCCAGGATGGTCTCAATCTCCTGACCTCGTGATCGGCCTGCCTCAGCCTCCCAGAGTGCTCGGATTACAGGCATGAACCACTGCACATGCCCGCTCTCATTCTTTTTTATGGCTGCATAATATTCCATAATGAATATGTACCACATTTTTACATTAAAGGAAATTGAAAGTGGGAAAGATAACAATCATACTTTGGTTAGTAGACAGCACCAGAATTCAGTAATAGGTCCATGTTACTTCAAATCCTGTGCTTTAAGAGCCTTGTTGCTGGGCCGGGCGGGGTGGCTCAAGCCTGTAATCCCAGCACTTTGGGAGGCCGAGACGGGCAGATCACGAGGTCAGAAGATCAAGACCATCCTGGCTAACACGGTGAAACCCCGTCTCTACCAAAAAAAATACAAAAAACTAGCTGGGCGAGGTGGCGGGTGCCTGTAGTCCCAGCTACTCGGGAGGCTGAGGCAGGAGAAGGGCGTGAACCCGGGAGGCGGAGCTTGCAGTGAGCTGAGATTCGGCCACTGCACTCCAGCCTGGGCAACAGAGTGAGCCTCCGTCTCAAAAAAAAAAAAAAAAAAAAAAAGAGCCTTGTTGCTTCTGTGCTATTTACATTTTATCTAAAATGATTTTAAGTAATTGGAGCTATGTGTAACAATACACACACATGACCATAACACACATACACACTATTTTTTCTTTGATTTATAATCCTTTGGCTATAAATCTGTTTTTTTAAAAAAGTTGTTAAAACAGTCTTGCTAAAAATTGTGTATCTCTCTTTCAGAGCTGTGGAATCAGCAATGTTTTTGGTTGGCAACAAACGAGATCTTTGTCATGTGCGAGAGGTTGGCTGGGAAGAAGGGCAAAAGCTGGCACTGGATAACCGATGCCAATTCTGTGAACTGTCTGCAGCAGAGCAGTCTCTGGAAGTGGAAATGATGTTTATCAGAATTATCAAGGACATCCTGATAAACTTCAAACTCAAAGAAAAGAGACGACCCAGTGGATCTAAATCAATGGCCAAATTGATCAATAATGTATTTGGAAAGAGAAGGAAATCTGTTTAGTAGACATGAAATGACTATGAACCACAGCTATGTTTTCAAACATGTAGTTTGCCTTTTTGTTTGTTGTATCCTGTTCACTCTCCTTCACACAGAACCTTTCATTTATTGTACAACATTGTACTCACCCTAACCTACTGGTGGACAGCTATCCAGTTTGCCTTGACAAATATACTCTGCTTATGTGAATTTATTAAATGACCATGCCATAGTTTGTGGTTTACCTTTATTTTACACAGTTCTTTTGAATGAAATGGGTACTTATATTCATACAGTTAATAGATTACAGAGCTTAGTTTATCAATCTATGAAAGTTCTTGATTTATTTAATAGAATTACATGCATTTGATTTAAAGGTGTCTTTACAATAATTCAGTAGCTTACATAGTATTATGCATATTTTGTAATAAAACTTAGGCCTTAAGCAAATTCCTTCCCCAAGAGTATATATATTCTGTAGTTGATCTGATGAAAAAGTCTACCCTTCTTCATTTTCATGTATCACGCTATGTTAGCAAGGGTCATTGTCACAGATATGTTAATTTATAGAGCTAAGGTCCTTTTCAGATCGAAACATTTAGAAATTCATACATCATAGGACAGACAGAAGTAAAAACTTGTTGGGGAATTTATAACCTTAAAGGCTTTGTTGCCCTGAAATAAGTATTTGTGGATTAGGTACAAACATTTTGGTTCTTCTCAGGTTATTCTAATTACTGTTTCTTTCCAAAGACAAGTGTCTACCTCCTAGACCATGGTACCACTGCCACAGCCCTTGTGGACCTTTGACGAAAGATGTCTTTCAAGTTGAGATCCAAGGCTTAATTTTGGCCAAATTGCTGACAAATCAAGGTTAGGTCTCAGGCACAGGAAATTATGACAACACACAATGCTACATGTACATACTTGATTAATAAGTGTTGTCAAGACCCTGGGGACCAAGGTGGGTGAAGTCCTTTAATAGGGAGTGTTAGAGTGACCTTGGAGAGGGGTGAAACAATATTAAGCTCACTCACCAGGAGCCACAGTGCAACATTGTAAGAGTGACACCTAGAGCTGGTCTGAATAGATTTGCTGTTCGTTAGAAGTCTGACCTTGACGATATACTAAAGTAAAAGTAGTGGGAAAACAGAAGCTTATGTGGTAGTGTACAAAATTGGTTTAGAATGTTTATAAAGACGTGAAGGAGTTTAGGGTTACTATATTAAATTAGTCCCAAGAACCCAGTGTTTGACTACCATCCCTGGGAGAATTCAGGGGAACTTCCTTTACTCAGGAAGTAGGATGCACTGATGAGTAGGCACAGACAACTCTGAAAAGCTTAGTGGTGACTCTGCTCTCTGGGTGAGAGTTAACAGTAGATCCACTCCCTTGTTTAGCATCAGTGGATGCTACCACTGAACTGTGCTGTCCCATATCACTGCAGATCACAGGATCCTGAAACAGCAAAATCTAGATGCTAGCATTTAACCTGCAGCTTGTTATCCACTCTCCCAGCAACCTAAGAAATGGTGCCATACCCAGCGTGGAGGTTTTATTTCGGAAACCGACTGGTTGGATACTTAGAAGTGATGTGCTCAATCAGCCACATTGACGGAAAGTCCATATTGTGGACCCATGCATTGCTTCCATCTCTGCCACCATGGCCACTGTTATCGTGAGTCAGTTACCTAAGGAGAGATGGCCAGAAAAGAGTCAAGTGGATATCTGAAGGCCAAGTCATCCTGTCCACCTGATTGTAAAGTTATATCTCTTCTGGGCATTAACATGATACACAAAAAACTGTGGTTTTTTTTTTTTTTTTTTTTTTTTTTTTTTTTTTTTTGGGGACGAAGTCTCGCTCTTTCGCCCAGGCTAGAGTGCAGTGGCGGGATCTCAGCTCACTGCAAGCTCCGCCTCCCGGGTTCACGCCATTCTCCTGCCTCAGCCTCCCGAGTAGCTGGGACTACAGGCGCCCGCCACCTCGCCCGGCTAATTTTTTGTATTTTTAGTAGAGACGGGGTTTCACCGTGTTAGCCAGGATCGTCTCGATCTCCTGAACTTGTGATCTGCCCGCCTCGGTCTCCCAAAGTGCTGGGATTACAGGCGTGAGCCACTGTGCCCGGCCAAATCTGCGTATTTATGATTCCTCTGAGAGCTATCCTTTCACATACTTTTCCTTTAAAACTTATCGTGATGAGTATTCCAGCTTTACCTTTTACGTACTCTGACCAACTGGAAAAACTATTAATCACTGCCTAGAAACAGTGTATTACATGCCAGTTTTCTTACCCTACATTTTTAAAGTGGTGAACTTTTAAAAATGTTACTAAGGTCTTTTTTAGTCTAGTTTATGAAATTAGGGTAAATGAGGAAGGATATACACAAATGTTTTCAATGGTGGGTCACAAATATTATATAATTTAATGAAATAGTGATATATTTTGCTTTCCTAGTCTTTTGTAGACAACAAAGTGTACTTCCTGAAATCCTGCCAGCTGAGATAGTTTCTGTTAATAAACTTCATGGTCATCTTTGTGTAAGACTGTAATGAGGCAGTCTTCTTCTGGCTGGCATTTAACATATCAGGTTTGAGTAAGTACAGCTTCCCATCAGCTAGGAACATTTATATTAGATAGCTATGTGAGTGAAAAATAAACTTCTATTGTACAAAGCTGTCTTAGCAATTTTAATGATGCACTCTTATGGTCAATTGTTTATAAAAATTGTATTAATTTTTGAGTTTTAATATTGGCTATGTATACATATATATTTATCAGTACAAGCAGTTATACTTGAATATGGTTTTTGTTTTGTTTTTTCTTCTGGATTATCTCATTTTTAGAGATTCGGTCTTCATTCTTTAGAATCATTTTTCCAGTTAAAGATTATTTGGGAACAATTTTGCATTAAAAATAACATTTATCTATGTTAAATGTAAGAATCTAATGTTAAATGGTAATTTTTAATAGTTTAATTCATGCATATGTACCTGCGATAAGTCAGATCAAAATTTTTCTGTCAAAGGTACTGCTTATGTTTCCATATGTTTTAATTTTTTAATCATACACTGATGTTTTAGAAAATTGACCTTGGATGACACATCGTGTCATAAGGAATATATGGAATGTAGTAATAAGAACAAGAATTTATATTAAAATTTTTTGATGCCATAATTTTAGAAATGAACAGCTATTTTTTTCAGAGTGATATTTGAAATTACTAAATGAATTCCACCTTTGATAATGTGACAATTTTAAAACAAAAACACATTTTTTGATACTTCTCCCATCAAAAGGTTGTTCCAATTCCATTCCTGTTGATGTGGATCAGTTTTACAGACTCGTCTTAAACAGATTGAGGCAGAAGTAACATGTATGACTTATGAAGCCAGGTTAGAAAAGGAGACACAGATCCCATCTGTTTCTCTCCCCCTTGTAACTCTGCTTTGGAAGCTATGAGTCGACATGTATGGAGGCACCAGGCTGGAGACAGCACATAGAGTTAATGACCACATAACCACTAGATATACAAGCAAATCTTTGGGTGATGCCAGCCTACAACCTTTGGGCTACTCCAGCTGATGGCAAGTGGAACAGAGATAGGCGACTTCCACAGAACTCTACCCCAACTATAGATTTGTGAGCATAGTAAATATTGTTTTCATTTTGGAAGTATTGCATGGCAATAGATAACCAGAAAACATAATTCATTAAAACCCTCAGCAACTCAGTCAATATGAAATACTTGGCTTTCTTACTAGGGAAAAATGAGGTGTTAAAAGAAATTTTCCAACCAGATTCATAATTGTTTAGAACATGATATTGTCCCAATACCAGTTTTCTTGTGAACATAATTCACTTTTAAAACAACTTGAAAAAAACTTAAAAATAATAAGTTGCATGTTTCCGAAGTGAGCAAAAAACACATACCTACAGAGAAACAAATATATCAACATTAAGTAATAGAATATTGTAGTTTGAGGACAGCAAGTGTGTCTATAAATCTCAGCGCTAGCCAAGCTGTATCACTAGGCCGGGAATTGCCTATGCTGCTTCTAGCAAGAAAGATGCTGTCATTCATTTTGGATGAGCTTCAGTGAGATAACACATAATGAGGGGCAACAGCTGAGGAAGGGAATGCCAAAGGGGAGGGGTCTTTAAAATGGTTTTGATTTAATACAAGGCATGCACTATTAATAAAGAGTTTGAATGATACCTGTATGTTTTATAGGTTTATAAATTGGCTGTAGTAAAATGTTTTACATCTTAGACCACTAGGTATTGTTTCAGCTTATTATGGGAGATATCTATCTAGAGTTGACTGAATTGTATTAATCTGAACCTAGTTTAATGATGCCTTAACATTTTTATGGGGGAATTTAATGTTTGCAATATCCATGTTCCTTATTTGAAAGCGTGACTTATAGGTTTCTCATCTTCCTTAAATTATAAAATCCTTCAGCTAATAAAGGAAAATGATTATAGTTTGCAAAAAAGGCAAAGTCATTTAACAATCCATATAACTGTCTATTGTAGGGCTTTGCATAATAATTGTAATTTAACTATTAAAGATTCTAAAGGCAGTTATCAGTCATACTCTACAATTCTGGGGAATCAGGCAAAGCCCAAATTATTTAAAGTATTTTAAATTCCCAAAGAAATAAAGGCACACCATAAATTTGAAATATAGTCTATAGTGACAAGATATTTCATAAGAAAAGAAAAAACTTCATCATAATTTTCAAATATATAAACCACCAAACATTATTTTTTTTCCTTTTGGATATAGATGTAACACACGTTTATCTTTAATAATGGAAATATAAATTACTCTAAGAAGGAAATTTGCAGACTATAAAGTATCATTGTCAATGTGAAACTTAACCAACATTTTAGTGGTCCTGGAGCAGCTAAGGTATAATGAATTAAGAAAAATGTGAGTGATTGAATCACTTCACCTTACATGAAAGAAAGTATAACCATGAGTTGCCTGTATGATTTTTAGAACGTTTTATAGAACATGAGCATTTAACAACTAGACGCTTGAAAACTTGTAAAAACACATATGTAAAATCAAGCTGATATATTTTTTCAACTATAGACTTAACTTCAAGGTAATATGATAATTAGGGTCATAAAACTTAGAGGTATTTCTATATAAAAACACACTCAAAGGTTAAAATTTTTTGATTGAGTTAAACATACTGTCCATGACTCAAACAGTAACTAT